AACAAGAAAGGAAGCATGTATTTACTCTTGACGTCGAGTACTGTCAAATCGATTTTTTTACGAATTTTCGGAGAACAAATGATCTTATGAGTCTCATACTCTAGAACTATAATTCTTAAGCCTAGAACAACTCAGAACAAAAAGATCTCGGTTGGAACAAGAAAGATAGTATAAGTTTACTCTTAGTCCGATAGACTGTTTGTCAAAAAACTTTTTTTTAATTTTTCGGGCTTATAATTAAACTTATTTTTTGCTTTTGGAACAATGTTTGGAACAACTAGAACAATCTATATCGGTATCGGAATGCTTTATTTTCAAAAAATGGAGTGCCAGGTCAAAAACATTTTTTTCATTTTTTGGACTTATAATTCAACTTACGGATTTGTCCTTTTGGAACAATGTTTGGAACAACTAGGACAATCTATTGCGGTATCAGAATGTTCGATTTTCGAAAAGTGGGGTGCCAGTTCAAAAAATTATTTTTTTTGTTTTATTCGAAAACCGTTTCGAATAAAGCAATATCACTTTGGAACAATGTGGTACAAAGTCAGAACAATCTGGAACAACTTTCAAAATTATAAATTTCAAAAAGTGGGGTGCCAACTTCATACACTCTTCTTCGGGAATGTGATGCACGGAGTCGTGCTTATTTGTCGTGCGCGTTTAACGAGATATACGCGAGTAAACTTTCCAACACGGAAGTCGTTGCTCGTTCAATTCGTCACCGCATTAGCCACATTGTGTGCCCCGTAGGGTTCCCGGATTCCAGCCCCTTGCAAATATTTCTGTTCCGCGGCAATTTAGGCTAACACGGAATACGCTTTCGTAATTAATTCGACGCCATTATCACGGCTTTGTTACGGCGAAAAGTTCGTAATCGTGGTTCATCGTGGAATAGAAGTGCCGCTCCCTTTCTGCAGAACCACACTCGCGCTGAAACCAGCGCAAATTTACTCCCGCATTATTACTTCCCGCAATGAGGAAACTTGGTTATTGTAGGATGATCGGTGTGAGAGCAGCAGCCTCTTTTTGTGCGGCTCTCCGAGAAGCTGGTTATAAAAATGGAAGAGCAGCCCGTCGAGAGAGACTTTCTCGACCTTCCGCCGGCACGGATTTGTCGTGTTACACGATAATAGTGATGAATATTCCTGAAGCTTATTGACGAGAGAGTTTTTGACAACAGATTCAGCGTCGAAATACACCGGATATGTCGTGTGAACGATCGCGAACCTATTCGAGAAATTCCTTTGTACAAATAAATATCGTAAAGAAATTTATATGTGTGTGTATGCTTTTCGCTGTGGAAAATCAAGTTCATTTATCGTTTGTGTCACGAAAATTTTATCGTTCCCAAACTCCGATAACATAAATATTTTACGCATGCATAGAAGACCCAAAGTATGTTACAGGAGCAAACACTCGATGCCGAAGTCGAGATAAGAGAGGATTCACCCTGAATGCACACGGGACTTTATATAATAGATAGTCGTAGTATCAACTCTCAGCAAATGCTGAAGTAGCATCTGTACTATTCGCGCGCGTAAGTAATATTTACATTGACATAAAAGTAATAACACGAGAGTAAATAGATTGACACACGAGAGATTTGTCGCAAAAAATTTAATTTTTCTCTTAAATTATCGCAGCAAGTTTGGGTATCAAGAAGAAATTAGAGCCAACGTACAAGCATATCCGTAACACGTTATGTTAAGTGACAATGTAATGGCCATATCTGTACGTAAAATTAAACTGAAGTCAACACATTTAGGTTAACGCACAAAGAAATCCGTAAACTTAACATGTTACGGATGTTCTTGTGCGGAGGCTCTTAGATTGTTCTAAAAGAAACGTCGATGTAGTCTGTTTTATTAAATCAAAATTATACAAGATGTTCTATTTCAATTGGATCTCAAATACTTTAAAAATAAGACGTAGAAAAAAATATGTCAGACAAGAGTTGTATGATCTCAAGATGGAAAGAAGATGAGTGAGAAAACACTTTTTTTAACAATCTCTTGTTTTTGAGATATTTCAGATATTTGAGATATGATTGAAAGTAGGACATTTTTCTCTCTTAAATAACATATTCAAATTGAATATTTGTCAACCGATTAGCAACCGCTGCCTACGTGAATTTTAACATCGATCTTGTAGAAATAATCCGCGAGATCGAAGATAAACGCGAAAAAGTCGTTCACGGCTCGCCTACGCGTGGGTATAAAAAGAAAAAAGAAATGTCTCGGCCGTGTAGGTTTAATGTAGCGTGAATGATGCCTGGATCATGTTTGGGGACGTCGATTTTCCGGGGGGAAGGTCGAAATCCCGCGGGACAGCGGCGTAAAAGGCGGTTGTCACGAGGATAGATTCAGGGGGACCGATTCGACAGTGCTTACATGGGTGTGGAATAAGGCTAGGTACATGAACTGACATCCGATTACCATGGCAACGCGCCCCGTCAAAAGGAAACGCGGATCCCTCGTAATGTGTATCCTCCCGCTTTGTCCGTGGAAGAAGCACCTAATAGAAATGCCTAACAGATCACACGAATATACGTTCTGTGAATACGTGTCTGTGATTACAAACACAACAAAGGGTAGGCAAACTGATTGCGAGAAATCGACCGTTTCATTTATAAATTACAAGTACGAGGGCGAAGAGAACTATTGTGTCAACTATCAGTGAGAAGGATAGACAAGTAAGAGCTGTCGCTGAATGTGATAGTTTATGTCTACGAGAGGGTAAAATTTCACAGTGATTTGGCAGTTATTTGATAAGGTTTAATAGTGTAACGCATTTAGTTCCTAAAACTTGCTGTAGGCAAGATTCAAGATAATTTGACGTGGAAAGTTGACTCTTCGTGCAAGCCCGGAAAAATATTCGGTGCGTGCGTTATCACACTTTTCAAGCTTTATCATCTTCTCTCATGATTTAAAATTCTTCGCATTAATGTCCGCCAACGGCTTTTTCTCATCATTTCTCTTAGTTTAGTTATTTTCCAGCCTTTTTCTGAACACACGCGTAAGATACTTAGTCGCAAAGTAATTCAGGGACAATAAGATTAGGATCTCACCGTCAAAATTGGAAGTTATTGACGGGTTTGTGAACAGTAATTATATACATTTACTATTATATACATTTATTACTTTATACCGCATGGAAAAAAAGGTTTGGTTGATTTATTACTTTATACCGCATGGAAAAAAAGGTTTGGTTGAATTGATCAAATATCTGGTCGAATATGAACGATCCAGAAATTCCGATTGAAGTAACCCGAATTCTATTTAAATTAACAAGACTTTTGGTTGACTTTTTGGTTTGACTTAAACAGAATTTGGATTCAATCGGAATTTCTGAATCGTTCATATTCGACCAGATATTTGGTTAATTCAACCAAACCTTTTTTCCGTGTGTTATATACATACAAACTACAGTGTTCCAAGTTGAAATACTTGGTGATTACAT